ATGCTCCATGCCGCGGCGTGGCGGGAAACCCAATAGGGTATTCCGCTGCAAGCCAACCGGAACCTAAAGAAGAAAAGCATGACTGCTCGATCTGTTTCCCTCTGCGCGCTCATTGGCTGACCGCCACAGCCACGCCATCTTTCCCGTACAAAACAAAAGCGGCTTCAGGGTGTCTCAGAAATAGACAACACACAGCCAGTGCACAGGGAAAGCAAAGACTCGCTACAGACACGTCCAATACGCGCTCGAGACATCGAGGATGTCTAAAAAGTGTCTAATTAAGAGTCGAATTTAGACATCCAGAAGCCGATGCGAAGCCAGTCAGGGGCCACACCCGAGACGGTAGGGAGCTACCGCCAAGGCAACCGGAAGACACTCGGGAGGCAACCGGAAGACACCCAGGAGGGACCCAGCAGACGCCCAAGAGACACTGCGGAGCCGTCCCGGAGCCACTGTAGAGACATCGCGAAGACACTACGGATTCCACGAAAAAAAAATTGTACCCCAGTTTGAAAATTCAGCTTCCCGCCGCGACTTGCGACTGACCTCGGTAATCCGACCTCTGAGGCGATGTTTCGGTGAACCGGACCCGGTGGGAGTCGAACCTCCGACTGTGCGTTCCGCGCTCCGGTACGGTATCCACTTGGCCAGAGCGATCCGTTGGGAACAGATGGAGTCTCAGCGCACATATTAGCAAGTCTCTATCAACGGATAAAATGAAATAAAGTGTGATCTCCCTTTCCCGTAGCCTCTTATGTATCTACAGTCCATTTCCTCGCTTCATGTTAAGTTTGAACGGTGTCAGAAGACGCCGTGCAAGGAAAAACTGGTTGGGGGCCGACCGGGATCGAACCTCCGCTTACTATCCAGCCGCCAGGCACGGAGACCACTGCGCCACAGAGGCGCCTGGTGGGGGGACGCTCGAGCGCGCTGCTTCTGCCTGCAATCGCTACATCTGAGAATCGAGTGCATCGTCGCGGCTGAGTTGTCGTTCGTGTATATTGTAAGACGATCAACGGATCGCTCTGGCCAAGTGGATACCGTACCGGAGCGCGGAACGCACAGTCGGAGGTTCGACTCCCACCGGGTCCGGTTCACCGAAACATCGCCTCAGAGGTCCGATTACCGAGGTCAGTCGCAAGTCGCGGCGGGAAGCTGAATTTTCAAACTGGGGTACAATTTTTTTTTTCGTGGAATCCGTAGTGTCTTCGCGATGTCTCTACAGTGGCTCCGGGACGGCTCCGCAGTGTCTCTTGGGCGTCTGCTGGGTCCCTCCTGGGTGTCTTCCGGTTGCCTCCCGAGTGTCTTCCGGTTGCCTTGGCAGTAGCTCCCTACCGTCTCGGGTGTGGCCCCTGGCTGGCTTCGCATCGGCTTCTGGATGTCTAAATTCGACTCTTAATTAGACACTTTTTAGACATCCTCGATGTCTCGAGCGCGTATTGGACGTGTCTGTAGCGAGTCTTTGCTTTCCCTGTGCACTGGCTGTGTGTTGTCTATTTCTGAGACATTCTAGAGACACTCTGAAGCCGCTTTTTTTTGTACGGGTTGGCCAATCAGCGTTCAGGAGGAAACAGATCGGGTAGTCATGCTTTTCTTCTTTAGGTTCCGATTGTGTTGTAGCGGAATACCCTATCGCGCGCTATGGAAGTTGCAGCAGCCCTTATGCAGACCAGAGGCGAGTCAGAGCCCTGCCCTACAGGCCCGCCCCCGCCAGACAGGCGCAGCGAGTGCGCAACCTCCTGACAGGCAATACAGTATTGTGAGAGAAAGAAAGGGAAAACAAACTCCCCAAAAATAGCACCTGAGGAGTTTCATGTCTAGGAAGGATGATAACTTTTAAGTCATCCTCTCTAGTTTATGTTTTCATTCAAAATGAAACGAGGGAAACTATTGAAAACAGCGAAGAGAAGTGTGCGTATGCTTATCTCGCATACAGTACGTAGTACGTAGTGTTTTGCGAGCGGAATCTCCCAGTGTCATGTACCCTGTGGCTGGCTACGCCGCTAAAGCCCCTGGCAAGTTGAAGTACAGAGGGCAAGGCAAGGTTTTGTCGACAGATTTATCAGGAGAGCTGGGCCATGTGCTCTGTGCTCGGGGCCTGCTCGCGGGGTGCTCGGGCCGGGCCTGGCGCAGCCTGGTGGTGGCGGGCACTGCCCCGCGCAACGTGTCTCGCGGAATAAATCAAATCGCTCAGCCAATAACGTTCCGAAACGCCCCGCGCTTTTCTCTCTCTGTCGCGAGCACAACGGCCCCGGCAATCTCTGCGGCGCTTCCTCCGGGAGCGTGATGATCATCCTCCGCACCAACTCAAGGGGCGCTCGCCAACCCCGCGGCCGAGCCACTCGGCCGGCCTCGTAAAAGCGCACATCTCAAGGGTTCCCTTGGGCACATCATGGATCTCGAGCCGAGCATCTCCGAGGGCAGAGCCGAGCCCGCCCAGCCTATACGCGGCGGCCGCCACCCCCGCCAGCTGCACGCGGCTCACATCCATCTCTACCCCGGGTGGCGGAGCATGCGCTGCGCACCGTGCGTGCGTGCGTGCCCCCCCCCCCCAATCCCCCCAGCACAGCTGTGCGCGCTGCAAGCCGTCCGTCACCGGCACGCCAGGCCAGGCCACAGGCTCACAGGCTCACCCCCGAAAGCTGATCGGGAGATGATCTCCGCCGGAACGAGGTGGAGCGGCAATGAGACGGCTGTCATTCACTCTACTCGGCGCGAGACGGGCGTGACCGAACGGTCGCGGCGCAAACGAGCTGACCCGCCCCCTCCCACTCGAGCACAGAGACCACATCCCCTCCCTGACCGCGCCGGCCCTCACCCGGACAAAAACAAAATGATCTCTCTACTATACTTATTGCTGGATTGTTATATCAATTTTCAAAACCGCCGATGTGCGAAACGATATTACACAGCCAACCTCAAGCCGACCCAGTACTAGAAGCACACCTGGCCGCCGAGCGCCGCGCTTGCGGTGTGGCCGGCAAGATTAGAATCGCGGCGAGGGAGAGGGAAGGACCAGCGGCGCCCAAAGGCCGGCAAAATGGACCCGGACCGCAACGAGCGCAACGAGCGCAACGAGGGGCCGACGGCGGCGTGCAGTGCCTGCATCTGCAACAGAGGGGGGGGAGGGGAAGCGCGTGCCTCGCTGCGCCTGCAGAGTATTGATGACCCGCGGTGGTGACCGACCGACCAGGACCACCAGGACCCGGCCCGGCATCGGCATTGGAAGTATTTTGGGGGGGTGGGGCGGCTCCCAACGGAGTCCCCCCCACAAAAGTACTATACACAGTGGAGAAAATACTACCACAACAAAACACAATATTACAAGTCATTGTCATTGTGTCAGTACTATTACCATTATTTTTGGAATGGGTCATTTGTGTGCATCGAGCCGAGTTGAAAAGAGTCAGGAGGAGTCGAGTAGACGTCTGACCGGAGACGCCCAGGCCCAGGACCGCCCATGACACTTCCAATCCCCCCC